ATTTCTGCATAAAATGGGCATTGATTCGATGAAGCTTGTCACGGGAAGTCTAATGGTGGTCTTTGTTTTGCGCTACGAGGTCTAGAATTGCTAAAAATTGAGTTTGAAAATTTGACGTCATCAATTTTGAACAGTTTTTTCGCTATAACTTGGCCAAAAAAAAAAGAGGTATCGATCTCAAATTTGGTATGTAGATAGAAGGCCGTAGAGATTATCACATATCTTCCGGTTTTTTCGAAATTCAAAAAACTTTTTGGATTTTTCGGCTATTTTATTCAAAAGATCTATTTTTTATTTTAGGGGTCAAAATCCAAAAATTTCAAAAATCCGAGATTGCAGTTTTGTAGCCCTTCAAATTCTACACCTTATATGTCTAAATATTTTTCTGCATCTCTAAAGCTGTAGGCCTGACAGCTCTTCTCGCGAAACCTTTTTTGAGGTCGAAAATGACAGAAATGACGTCACTCTGACGTCATTAGCGTCCAACCTATCATAGCCTTTGGAAATTTTTTTAGTCAAAATGTGCAATAGCTGTACACGGAAGGGTACCGAAAGTTTGGTGACGATCGGTGCAGCGGTTCTCGAGATACATCGAAAAAACTAAGGGGGGGCAAAAAAATGCCCCCCCCCCACCGCCTGGAAGGTTAAAAACAGAGTAACTCTTGGCACATAAGTAAGTTTCCTCTAACAAGGAGCGAGGCAACTTACACAATGGGCAAAAGAGATAAGCTCAGTAAGACCTTGAGACTTTGCGAGTCGTGCGTCTGCTTGGACTCAGACTACATGAAATGGACTGTTCTTGGCAGTGTTATCACATGCTTTCACAGTATGCACCCGCGACAATCACCGCAGTGCACGCAGGACCTCTTATACGGCCTTGCTCAGGACTGGCACATGACGAGCATCAATGGAAACATGTTCTGTTCATGGCTTAATATCACAGAAAATTCACCCGCAGAGGAGCCCGTCTCATCCGCTGGCTCCAGTGCGCACCCGCGAAAATCATCACAGTGGACTCACGACTGGCACTTGAGTCTTGACGAACATCAATGGAAACACATTCTGTTTATGGGTAACTATCACATAAAATTCACGCGCAGAGGAGCCCGTCTTCTCAGGTGGCTCCAGGGCGCACTCGCGAAAATCATCGCAGTGGACTCACGACTGGCATGGCACTTGACGAACATCAATGGAAACATGTGCTGTTCTTGGCTAAATATCACATAAAATTCACCCGCAGAGGAGCCCGTCTTATCAGCTGGCTCCAGTGAGCACAGCTGAGCACAGCTGAGCTGAGCTCGCTCAGCTCAGCTCAGCTCAGCTCAATCAGCTCAGCTCAGCTCAGCTCAATCAGCTCAGCTCAATCAGCTCAGCTCAGCTCAGCTCAATCAGCTCAGCTCAATCAGCTCAGCTCAGCTCAATCAGCTCAGCTCAATCAGCTCAGCTCGCTCAGCTCAATCAGCTCAGCTCAGCTCGCTCAGCTCGGCTCAGCTCAATCAGCTCAGCTCAGCTCAGCTCAGGTCAGCTCAAGCTCATTCAGCTCAGCTCAGCTCAAGCTCATTCAGCTCAGCTCAGACAGCAGCTCAGCTCAGTGCATTACTGAGCCGGCTCAGCTCACAGCTGAACAATTTGGCAAAATGTTGAGCCGGCTCATGAGCTGAGCTGATTTTTGAGCCGGCTCAACTGAGCTGATCACAAGTCTGGATGCAACTAATGATACCTACAAGTAGTTTGTATTAATTGACTTTTGGGGAACGGGTCCAACTGGTTCCGATTCCAACTAAGACCGGGTCCGACTGGTTCCAGAAATATCCAGCCGGGTCTGGTTCGAGTCTGGTTCCCAAAATTTTCATCTTTTGCCACCTCTAGTTACAACGTTACAACTTACGGTATGGAACCCGCCACCCGGTTACTTTGTGTTGAAATTCCTTCCCCCTAGATGGCACCAGCATCGCACGCCTGCGTAGGTATGCTGTTCCGCAGGACATGGCACGTTCCCACTCCCGACGCTAGATGGCAGGGGCGTCGGACGCCTGGAGTTATACTGTGCCGCACGGCTTGAAGCTATGTCGCGGCGAGGGAGGAGTGGGAAAACGATTCGATAGCTATTTGCACTGTAAGAACGAATTATTTTCAGTGGTTGTATGCAAGCAAATGAGCGTATCCATTGGACAGGGCGACGTATTGGGAAAATGTATTCGGGCAAAACGTGTAACCTCTATCAGTTCACCGTAAGTTGATGAAGTCTCAGTATAGAATTGCCGCATAACTGCGCCCGTGGCGAACCCAGCTCTCATTCGTGGCCCTCGCCTTTGTTCAGACCTTGCACACGCTGTCCTGGCACCACTATGGACTCAATGGGAAATGAACCAGTGTTTCTAAGCCATCAACTGAGTGTATGGAACTCGTTTACACCTGGCAGAGGCCATCCAAAGCGGGCGTGTTGGTTTGTCAGTCCGCTTTTGGTGGGCGGGTGCCAGCAGCTCGCGTGCCCCGCCAGCTGAGCGGTCACATGACGCGCTAGCACTTAGCTGGAGCGGAGTCGAAACTTGAAATCAATAGAGCACTGCACTGCTGCGAGCAGCGGCAGCGGGGAGCCCGGGGCTGGCCCACAAACAAGGCAGCCGACTGCAACACAGCAACGGAGACCGGCCGCAATGATATGATTGGACTCCCAGCAGTGATGTGTGCCTTTTCACTTTTATATCGAAGCATATTTGTTTACGAGTATGTGGGTACATTTACTATAAAATACACATCACATAGACATTGCACAGTATCGCTGGCGTTTTATTAGACAATGGACAAACGGACAATGTTAGACGGTCTTTCAGTTTAAATCATGCAGGTTACGTACATAAATACCTATAAGCACTCAATAAAATCAAAAGGGTTATTGAATTGCAGCTTTGATAAAAATCTGACATCCGAGGTCACCGGATAAGTGATCGCCTCTAACTACCGGCATATACCTAGGCACTTACCGGCAGCGTATGAAGGCGCGAAGCATATAAGGAAAATGCTGATAAAATACCTCATCTTCTCTTTATCTGAAAAGAAAGAAATAAAAAGTTATCCCATAGATACTACAAATGCATTCAAAAGCTTTTTCAGCTTTAAATGCCTGTGTCAAAGCAGCTGTATCAAGCCAAAAGGACTGAGGCGGATAAATAAAAACAGAGTTCAAAATATCTTGTACAGTCCACAGCATAAGTAATGCGTGGTTTCAGTCCTGGGTAGGTATGTCCTGCTTCTGAAGCATAGGAATGATTCGCCAGACCACGATGAAACTTTGAATGTAGCTAGCCTGTATCGTTACCCTTGCAGCTGCAACTTTATCTATTGACGCCTTCTTTTCGATCACTCCGCTAAAATCGCCAGTCAAAGCCATCCGTTGAGATTGGTAAAACCGCACATTACTTTAGCGGTGGGCTGTACCTACACACATACACTAACATCAAATATCACAGCATCAATCGACCAAAGCCCCAAACCCACAGATAATATACGAAGCGGCTCGTCTCTGACTGACCTTGAGTGACCGACCGATGTAAGTTGCGCCGACCTCCGACTGCAGAGAACCGGAAGGGGTCGCTGCCGGCCGCGTAGGAGAGGTACAGCGAACAGACGATGACGACCCTCACTGTCCACCGGTAGGCCTGTCTTCGTCTCACTCCGGTGTTGACTCGGTGTGTGCCCTTCTTGACCTTGGCTGGCGTCCGCTCGGGACACTCAAATATTGCCTATAAGCCTCTGTTTAAGGATAGCATCACTACCGTCTCACCTCTGGAGTCCTTGCTGGCCCAGCAGTGCCTTGCTGAATGCTGACTGCCCCAAATCACCTCACTTGCAGGGATTTGGCGTTCCCTACATGCAGAGTGGCGAGTGCAGACTGTACACGGTGCCAACCTTGCTACAGTAGCAGCCTTTGAGCACAACTGTACAGTATACACTGTTCTTGAGACGGTGACAATAGAGGTGATCGTTACATGAACTATAGACGTGCACAGTGCAAACAGTCGCAAGGCACTACACCCGCCAGCTCCACCAGTCGCGCCGACTGACCCCGCTCTGCCCGCCTCGGCCAGCCGACTGACCCCCCCCCCTCCCCCCGGCGACCCGACCCGGCGGCGCCGACTTCACGGTCGACATCGGTCGATCGGCCCCCCTCGGCGGCGGCGGAGTCGACGGGAGGAGTCGGGAACGGTCCGCCCGGCCCCCGGGACGGTGGGTTGGACAACAGCTTCATAATGCTTCTGATGGGTGAAGAAGAATAGTGTCATGAAGAACCTGACACTATTCGTTCTCTCCTCTTCACGTGATGTATTCAATATGCAGAGCTCACGTGTTTCTTAGGTGGTGAGTGGACGACTGTCCTGAGACGAAGCATTACGTACACCTCAGAGGGTGACTTTGTCGTAGGGTGACAAATAATCCCCCCCCCCCCCAGTGCAGCCCTTCAGAACAGGCAGCGCAGTCGACGATACGTTTTTCGAGTGGCAATATCAGGCCTTCTAAAGGAGGCAATATACCTCCTAAGAGCAGCAAGATCCCATTTCAAGGCTGTTAATAAGATGACCGAGGACGGCTATGGGCACTATGAAGGCAGTAATATGCCCATATAATGGCGGCACAGCGTCCTCAGAACGCGACCACACGCCTTATGCAGGCAACGACGTCGATGGCTTATTTTATCATCGTGCCTTTCTCACCCGTAGATGCCCTTTGTGAGACCTTTTAGATGCTTACTCCAGTCGTTCGGAATTCTAATTATCTACCCTATTTAAATCCTTCGCCCCAAACGCAACCGATTTGCAGGAGCGCCGCAGGATTCCAGTTTTCGGGTTGCCGAATGCATTTATTGAACCATTTTCCAGAAAACTGGGACAATCATAGCTGCACCGTTCTTCACAACGATTCCGTTTGAATTGAACTTCCGCAGCACTAGAAGTCTTTGGTGTATGCCATATTATCAGTTCAGTGATCGAAATACATAAATATAACCGCGTCATGTAAAATATATTTCACATTCTGAAACCGTAACAAGCATCACATTGGAATTATAGGCAAGGCACACGTTGTTATCAAAATCGCAATGTCAGTTGTAAATAACCGCTCGGCAGTGACATGCTGTAATTATCCCCACAACCCCACCGTTCAACTAAAAGCCTCAACCAGAGTCCCAGACAACGGGCAATGTCAAACAAATACCAAGCACCCTGCTTCACTACACCTGGAAATAAGTACCGGCGAGCAGCTAGTGTCAAATCTATCCATCCCCAGTCGAGCTTACACGACAAGCTCACCACCTAGCTGCAAGGCCAAAGGCGTAAAAAATCTCAGCATTCAAACCAACCTACGGTTAGTAGAAGCTAGTCCCGAGGTACACTAGCTAACACGTCACGCTATTGCACGTAGCGTAAAATAACGACCCTGGAATGCTTCCCTGCAGTAGCCCAGGTACAGCGCTCTCCAGCAAGACCAGAGCATCTCTATTCTACCCGGGAAGACAAAACAGTGATTCTCGGGATCATTTTACTGCAGAGCAGCTTGTCAGCTTGCCCTGACTGCCACTGACCAGTCAGGTTCTCCTGACCACCGATAAACACTAGTCTTAGGAGTTCGCGTTCAGCAAACGACTCGTCAGACAAGTCGCAGCAAGATCGCTTTACATACTTGCATAGCCTCATAGGCATGGATGTAAGCGAACCCAGGCTTTTGTACAAAACTGCTTCGCTAGGCGATAAGCTGCGCTGCTGCAAAAACATAACCTGAATACAAGCAATATGTTTCACAATTTACCCGTCACCAATTCACCTAAAATCATCTCAACACACAGAAACACACCATCCAAAGAACAGCATCACCCTAAGCTGATGCTTGGGTGAATCCTAGGGTGAATCCACTGGCTAAATCATTCACGCTTTTTGGAATGCCTCACTATCTAGATTCTAGATTGTCAAATCACTACCAAAACTTATGCTATCGGCGTACCGCCGCCCGGGCGGTTGGGTTCGAACCCCACCCCATCCCAGTGTTTTCAAGTCCGACCGACCTGACATGGAGGTTACGACAGTTTGCCGAGCTCGAACTTCTTGAAGGCCTCTGAGGCGGTGAAGATGACCGAGTCGATGATGCCGGCCACTGTGAACGTGCCGCCCACGATGGCGCATATCTGTGGACAGGGAGACAGCGATGTCACAGTCGGGTCGTCACCGAGACAGCACAGACACGGAGATGGGGGTGTTACGGGCGGAACCGTGAGGACGGGGTGTTACGGACGGATCTGTCACAGAGACAGCGGGGATACAGAGATGGGGGCGTTACGGGCGGATAATATGTGGACGTTGCAGTATAATTACTAGAAATAGCCGAAACAGTGGCGTTACGGAGGTAGTTATGGCGTTAAGGTGTCAAAGACTGGCGAAAACATCAAGAAATAAAGTTATGAAGAGATATCAGTGCCAATGAGGGAGACAGACTGGAACAGCAGCGTACATAATCCGTATCATTCCAATGATAACTGGATGTTCAGGATGTGGCGATATGAAGCTCATGACGCCCAGTGTGCAGCTTCTCACATTTTCTTCACGCTCGGTCGCCCAGAGCGTCACCTACCGACGTGATGAACGTGTAGAGCGGGGGCCGCCGCTCGTGGTAGCGCACTGTGATCGGGTTCAGCTCGTACTTGAACCAAATGGCCGGCGACCGACCGAGCTGCTGCCGCACCTGAGGACGAACAGACGGATTATCAATAGGGACGGGGACGGGTTCAAACAATACGGCAGACGCAGATGGATTTAAGCGCTGGGCAGATAAGGACGATAGGTAGATCGGACAAGGACAAGGAAAAGATCAAACGGCCCACCATAAACTGATGGAGTGGTTAGGTCAGGATTAGGAAATCACTGCGCTGGAACACGTCTCATTACAACGATACATGTCCGATTCACAAACAGCAAAAAATACAATCCAACAATCAACATCGAAGTAGAAACATTCCCATCAAATAAAATAGGTACAAATCACAACGTCGTAAGAAGCTGACCTTCGTAGTCCTCTCATGTTAAACCGAAACTGTCATTCAGTAAAGCGGTCGGTTGCCTCACCACACCGAACTACTAACCCTTGAGACGTAGGTGTACTGGTAGCTGACCACCTCGCGGCCGGACAAGTCCACGAATACGGTCGGCACTACCTTCAGCAGGTTCTCGTGTGCAGAGGCAGCTGCAGAGAGGACAGAAGAGGGTTAGCAGAGGGGGAGAGAGGTCCGAGTACCCACAGTGACGCACCGGGCAGTGGTGGGGACTCGGGCCGCTCCGCTCACAGACTTTGAAAGGTGACTGACTCTTAGGTAGTAAGCGACTTATGAGGTTTTCGGTGGAGCAACACATTACCTTCTGAAAAAACCTGAAAATTCTAATGCTACTAAGCAAGCCGACACCGATGAGCGTCGGTGATTCATATTCAAATATGTTATTTCGAAATATGTCAGTAAAATGCAGCAAAACGCAGCTTAAATTCACTCCAAATAGTTAAAACCATAGAGCCCTCAGTTTCAGACAGACCAGATGCATCACTGAACAGCGTGCAGTGTTCCACGCCGTCACTGATCCACCCCATCCCACCGTCCATAACAGAGCACCGGCACAAGTCTCTTCCCCCTCGCCCCGTCACTGACTGACCAGGGTGCTCCAGCGCCCGGTGGCCGTCCAGCGGACCGAAGCTAGCGTCCCTCAGAGCCGCCGCCGCCGCCGACGGCAGCGGCTCGCCGAAGCGCAGCTCGTGCAGGACGTGCGCGAAGTCGGCTCCACTGGCCGGCTGGCGCACCGCCGAGTGAGTCGACACGTGGAAGTTGCCTGGGGGGGGGGGGGGGGGTGCTGACATCAGAACGGTGTGATCTCTAGGGAGATCCAAATCCTCAATCGGCGCGGACAGGGTACTGTTTGGAAGTGTACACCTATCAGTCCTGTGTTGTCTCACTGATAACTGAAAGTAGATACAAAACAATAACAATGCCAGTAGCCCAGTAAAAATCACTAGTATTTATAATTAGGTGTACTTCGGACTGCGAAGGTCCGTGGACTGATTGTGACCAATTCCTCGGTTCGCCGACGACTTTCTGACCTGGCACCTTGTTGATGTGGAAGTCAGCGCTGAACAAGCAGCCCTTTCCGTCGACAATGGGCGTCTTCTCTGTGTTCTGCACCATGCCTACCTCGTGGCGACCCTGGTCGTCCTGAATGTCCAGACCCACATCTGGCAGCAGCACGAGAGGAGAGGCCAGGCAAAGGTGTATGTCGGTGTGCTCCTTTAAACACTTAGGTAGGCATCACTAAAATGTCCTGGTATTTCTGGTATGATCCTGGTATGAGCATTGCATACTTACTGGTATGATCATGTTTAAATAGTGCATTCAATATCACTGTTCTACAAGTTGCATGCAGTGTTATGTGTTAACCATTTGTTAACCATAACAGGTGCCAGACAGTAAAAGTTGTGACTCAAGAGTCAAGACCCAAGGAAGGCATTTTGTATTGCCATTATCAATAAGATGATCATATATTCATGAGCATTGCTGGGCAAAGTTGTACTTCATTTTTACAGAGTCAAATTAGTGTACCTAACCAAGCATATGGAGTAGGAACCAGAAAATATGATGAGGAATATGTACTTACATTCACACTTGAGGCGAGGTAGGGAGATCTTCAAGTGAACGTTGATGGTGCCAGACAGGTTGCCAGGGTTGTCCACAAACAGGTCTGATACACTGCAAACAATGTTCAGCATGTCAGTCATCCTGCGTGCAAGGCTTACAAACCAAAAGTAGCATGCAGGAGAGATGAAGTTGGATAGGTACCTCTGAAAGGCTGCAACACCCAGCACATGAATAGGTACCTATGTTGAAGATGTAAAAGTAAGTCAATACAACTGGCAAATACAATGAGCTGAGAAAGTGATAGTGAAACTATGTCAACTGTTAAAAATGAAGGTGAATCATAAGATCTTATGACCAATTTGAGCTTAGTTGAAATGTTACTATGCTGAGTTTATATGATAAGATTGCAGAAGACAGGGTAAATGAAGGAAAAATAAACAGTAGAAGGTAGCCACTTGGCTACATAGCTACATAGCTAGCAGGCAGGTAAGTAACACAAATGTTACTGACATGTCAGGTGAGATGAAGTTGTACAGTTCCGAGAACAGCATCAGGCACATGAATGAGCAGCAGCAGATGGAGATGACAGCCCCAGTCACAGTTGGCTGTGTCAGGTCCTTGGGCACCTTCCGGTACACATCTAGTCTGGAAACAATACAAATGCATAATGAGCATAATTTGATAAGAGCCTTTACATACCACATATGAGAATTGAGAGCCAGAAGGCTACTATTATTATAACTTCTCTTACACAATCTTAACACAGCTCAGTAGGCGGAACTATGGTCAAGCGTACCCATTTTCGGGAACGCATTTTCGTTCCCATGTTTGGGAACGATAAACCCAAATATGGGAACGCCATGTAGGCATTATTTAAAACAAGAAAAAGAACCGTTAAATGACGTCCAAAAAATATAAAACGATCGTGAACCGCCTGCTATTTGTCTCAATATTGTTGGGAAAGAGTTTCATATTGTAAGGCCCATCGTAGTTTCAAATCGTTCCCCTATTTCTAAAGCAGTCCATCATCCGGGCCGCGAGCCCAAATTTGGGAACGCTCTCGTACACTGGCGCTGCAAGTGTTCCTTATTATGGGAACGGCGTACCCAAAATTGGGAACGATTTCACCGACGCCTTTCAGGGGCTCTTTTCATTAACAAGCATCACGTCCAACGCCGCAAATTATTGTTAACGCAACAATCATCAGATGACCTTTCCGGCAAGACCGTCGCATGTTTCGCCCGGTCTTCTGCGCTTTTATTCCCGTCGATCTCGCAGCGGGCACGCCCCCCTCTGCAGGATTACGTAATTCACAACGCTCAGCGATGTTCAACAAGGTCTTCCATACCTATATCCACCGTCCGCGCTGAGGGTGGAGACATGTCAAGCACCTGTCTGTTTATCACCGATAGTTGACGAGTACAAGGAAGTATCCAAAAATGGGAACGCTGAATATGTTACACCCTCAAAACACCTAGTCCCAATGAAAATCTAGTTTTTTCCTTTCTTGATGAGTGTAAGTGGCAAAAGGCCTGGTAGGATGGGCACGAGGAATTATCGAAATCAGCATAAAAATTATAAATAAGCCACACAGAGCGAGCTATATAAGAGAAATTCCCCCAAAACGATCACGCTTAGAAACACGGAAGACAAAAACCACGCTCATGACGCTCCTTATAAAACAACTCTAAACAGCTAGCATCCAAATAAAATATGTCTTTCCGGGATGATAAAATACAGCTGGATAATTTTCAACCGCTTAAACTGAGTTTACAACAGTAGCTCGGTAAATTCACTCACGTTCCACGCGGTCGTCCGCCCCGACACAAAAGTCAACAATATTACCTCGGGACCGTCCGCGTCTTCGATTGCATTTGTCAGCATCTGGTGTCGATAGTATGAAAGTTCATAACCAGGCGAAAATTATTATACTTTACCTCAAACTAAAAAATGCTTCATTTTCCTTAAAATTGCATGTTAAATGTCGTATAACCCATATTTCCACCATTCTGTCATTTTCAAAAAATCATTAAAAATATCATTCCACGGTCAATTTCCTTGTTCCACGGTCAGATTAAAGATAACTTTATGGAGATTTAGTAGATACTTAAATCAGCGTGCACTTTTTTGAGACGTGATGCACTTTTGAGTTTTAGTGGGAGAACGGCCGAAAAATTGCCTTCCGTTCTCATAGATGGGAACGCCCGTTCCCATATTTGGGAACTCCGTTCCCAAAAATGGGAACGTTCCTATATTTGGGTACTCATGACCATAGTTCCGCCTACTGAGCTTAAACATTTTAGTGCATCCTCCTTTTATGCAGAACATGTCAACAGAAAAAGTATTTTTCAGGCTGACGCTGAATAAAGCAGCACAGGTCACTAGCATGCCGTGGAGCTCTCTGAAAGCAATTCCACAGCCTGAGCCACTGAAGTGAGATATTATGTCTAATCCACAATCCCGCATGGAGGACAAAAGCAGTTTTCATTAGGTATTTATATTCAACTAAATACCTTAAATATAGGAATGTAGGTACCTACCTTTTGACATCAAACACCATGTTTGTTACAGCCATCTAATAATGCGGTTCTGTGACATAGCTGTATTATGCCGTAAATTCTGAAACGAACAGAAAATCGTATGAAACAGTCGTTCAATCGTTTAGAATGAAGTTAGCCATTAACACATTGCACAGTACATAGCAAAAATTAATAATTTTCAACCAGCTTACATCGTTTGCGCCTTTCTGCCTTTCAATTCATCCAAACAATGCGGAATGTTCGTGACGCCGCCACGCGGCCTTTTTTTTTTTTTTTTTTTTTTTTTTTTTTTTTTTTTTTTTTTTTTTTTTAGTGGCCCTAACTTACGTTACCGGCCTCGCGAGGAGGGCGGCGACCTAACTACGCCGCGCAAAACAAACCGGCCGTCCTAACTAAGACCGGTGGCCACTTTTACAGCAAGACAACATGGGAAAACCCATATCCATGTACTATGCCATGAATATGGGAAAAAACCCATGAATTTACGTTAAGACACATAAATGACAGTGAAACTTACCGGTAAATTGATGTTTGTGAAGGGAGGGAAGGAGGAAGTTTGTGAATGGTAAGGTTACGAGAGTTTGATGACAGGAATGGTTTGAAGAGTGGGGGATATGTCGCTGGGAGGGATGGGGTTTGTGAATGTTTAAGCGTCACGATGAAAGGAATGGTTTGGAGGATGGGGAATCTGTCGCTGCTGCAGTTGGCGGCCGACGGTTGTCTGTGGTCGTTCAACCCGGCCGCCGCCGCTGTTCAGCGGCCGGGGTCCGCTGGTGTAGCTCGCTGGGCCGCTGAGCCTCTAAGCCTGCTCCAGCGGCAGGAGAAAACCCGTCTGCCACCGAAGCTCTGTGTTTCGGCACCAGCGAAAAACCCGACCCATCCCGTATCACAAGTCAGCCTGGTGGTAGCGAAACGGGCGCCTGCTAACAGTCAAGGCCGTTAAAGTAGCTCTGAGTAGGGTGATGTTAGGACGAAATCACGCGGCCGAACTCTTTGCCTCCACCGCGCCGCTAATGCCTTTCGCCGACGGAGGACGAGGCAACCAAAATATACGGCCCGCGACACTCGCGGTTACATGGCTCCTCTAAATTTGGTAAACAAAATTTACTTCTCTAGCATCTCCCACACACTTATCGCCACGCATATGACTGCGCATGACTCATGACTTCTCATAACGCTTAGGTGAGCACTTCTCACGGCACGTGTGACTCCCCATGACACTCAAAATGCACCTTTCACAACACGAGTGGCTCCTCGTAACACTTAGGAATGCGTTCTCACAGCGCGTGGCTCCTCATAACACCACAGTCCGCACGTCAGAGTGCGTGTCTCGGCTGACACAACTCCCTGCCGGTGAATAGGTACGCACACTGGCTCCGATCAGTCAGATGTCGGATAGCGACGGCCACCCGCAGATGGAGACACCACCCTGGACCGTCATCGCACGGCCACATCCGCCGCTCGAGTCCTCCATTCACCGAGTCTGTATCACATCTCACCCCGCTCGGCGCCCGGGCTGAGAGTCGCCACGGTCAGGTCCCGGTCTCTGCCGCGCCGGCCATGCCGCTCAGCGGCCATGCCGCTCAGCGCGTCAGGCTGACGATGCCGTGCACAGGCCGCTCCAGGTCCCGGCCTCCGGAGCGAACCTTCACCTTCCTCACCAGGCCGTCACGGCCGGGCACGGCCTCGACGATCCGGCCCAGAGGCCAGCTGCCTCTCGGAGATTCCTCCATCAGGAGCACGACGTCGCCCGGTTGAACGTTGGGCCTCGCCGACCTCCATCGTCGGCGCTCTTGGAGTGAAGACAAGAGCTCCGTCCTCCATCTTGACCAGAAGCGGTCTGCTACTAGCTGGACTCTACGCCAGCGCTGGCGAGAGTAAGCATCTGCTGACTGGAATCTACCAGGGAGGGGCAGTACTCGTCTAGTCTTTTGAGTTAGTATTTGGTTAGGTGTTAGCGGTTCTACTAGGTCAGTTTGGGTCATGTCGGGAGAGGATATGGGACGGCTGTTCATGATTGCTTCAGCCTCCACCATCACTGTTCTCAGCGTCTCGTCGTCGAGCTGACCGGCGTGGCTGATCAGTACAGCGCTGAGTGCAGCTCTTGCGGAGCGAATCATCCGCTCCCACGTGCCGCCCATGTGGCTGGCGCACGGCACATTCATCTTCATCTCGACGAGATCACAGTTCTCTTTCAGGAGCTCCCTTTGAACTTTCTCGTGGTCCATTTCTTTCAAAGCTTCTTCCATCGCGTTCTTCCCGCCGACGAAATTTGTGCCCCTGTCGCAGCGTAGCGTTCTCACTGGGCCGCGTCTACCGACAAACCTCCTGAAAGCATTCAAGAAGGAGTCTGTCGTGAGGGAATTGGCCGTCTCAATATGCACAGCCCTTGATGCCATGCAAGTGAACAGAACTCCCCATCGTTTGAGCTCGCTCCGCCGTTCCTTGATGTAAAACGGGCCGAACAGGTCCACTGCACTGTGCGTGAACGGCTCGGCAGGGCTCAGGCGGTCTTCCGGCAGGTCAGCCATCTTCTGCTCCACTGGAGATCCACGGATCTTCCTGCAGGTCACACAGGCCAGGATGTGGCGCGAGACTACACCTCTGGCTCCAACTACCCAGAACCCTGCAGAGCGGATCTCCGCTAGGGTCATCCCGCGGCCAGCGTGGCGGGTTCTCTGGTGGCAGTTGTCGACAAGTAAGCGTGTGACGTGACTTGCTCGCGGGAGGATAACTGGGTGCAGCTCAGTCACTGGTAGTTCTGCCCTCCGGATCCTGCCGCCCACATGAATCAATCCATCGGCTCCAAGGAAAGGATCCAACCTCACGAGCCTGCTGGTCTTCTTGACACTCATCTTCACTTCATCAGTCTCCTTCATCTTCTTCAACACTTTCAGCTCTTCTGGGAACGCTTCAGCTTGCGTAGCCCTTATCATCGCTGTCTCTGCTCTTTGCAGGTCTTCAACCGTCAGTGGTTGTCCAACTGAGTGGCGCCGTCCCTGCAGCACGTCCATGTACCTCAGACATAGCGCAACAGCTCTCTTGGCCCGGTGCCAGGTCGAGAATCGCTGAAGTCTCTCGGTCACGGTGGCACGGGGACGTGTCTCTGATGCAGCAGTCTGAAGCGTAACGACTGGCCGAATGGTGTGCTTCACCTCGGGGTCACTCTGGTCCACAGTTGGGCTCACGTTCTGATCCGGGAGTGGGTCCGCACTGTTCAGGAATGCTGGTCCGAACCACCACAAGGTGCTGTCTCTGAGCTCGGCGGCGCTCGTGCCTCTTGAGGCTAGATCAGCAGGATTCATCTTGGACTCGACATACCGCCATTGACGGGGCTCTGTACGATCCCTAATCTGTTGGACTCGGTTTCCCACAAACACGTGGAAGCGTCTGGCCTCGTTGGAGATGTAGCCGATGGCCACCTTGCTGTCGGTCCAGAAGAATTCGGCGACACTGCCGAGGTCAAGTTCTTTCTGAAGGAAGCTGCTCACTTGAACGGAAATCAGTGCTGCGGTGAGCTCGAGGCGAGGGACTGTAACGGGTTTGGAAGGAGTCACCCTGGCCTTACTCATCACAAGTCTACAGCTGACTCTGTTCTGGTCGTCTATGAGGCGGAGGTAACTGCACTGACCGTATCCGTGCGTGCTGGCATCGGAGAAGTGGTGCAGTTCCACTTGTTGCAGGGCTCCGAAGTCCATCGGTGTGTAACATCTTCGAATTTTCAGGGTTGACAGGGTCTCCAGCTCTGACATCCATTCATTCCAGCGCATCAGCAGAGTCTCTGGGACTGGGTCGTCCCAGCCGAGACCATCACGGCACAACTCCTTTAGAATCTGCTTGCCTCTCAGAATAAATGGAGAGATGAAGCCGAGGGGGTCAAATATGGAGCTAACCACAGACAGCATCCCCCTTCTAGTTGGTGGTTTATCGTTGGGCTTCACACTGAACTGAAGTACGTCGTTTTCTGTGTCCCACTCTATGCCAAGAGCTCGCTGGATGGGCAGCCTGCCCGCTCCGGCTTCCAGACTCTGCGTAGTAGAGCAGCGGCTCTCTGGCGGCACAGATTTCAGGACTTCAACGCTGTTAGACGACAGCTTGTGTAGTTCAAATCCACCCTGCTTACACAACTGGCGAGTCGCGTCGATGAGGCGCACAGCTGTGTCTTCGTCATCTACGGACGTGAGACCGTCGTCGATGTAAAAGTTTCTTCTTACGAAGTCGGCAGCTTCTTTTCCACTTTCATCTGCGTAGCTGTCGGCTGCTGTTCTGAGGGCGAACATAGCACATGCTGGTGAAGATCTTGCGCCGAACAAATGTGTCGTCATTCGGTACTCCTCGGGCTCCTGATGCACGTCACCGTTTTCCCACCAGAGGAACCTCAGGAAGTTACGATCGGTTCTGTTAACCCCCACCTGATTGAACATGCCTCTGATATCACATGTAAGAGCGATCGGTTTCATCCGAAAACGACAGAGGATTCCGGCGAGGCTGTTCGTCATGTCGGGTCCTTGCAATAGATGACTGTTCAGCACCTCTCCACCAAATTCGGTGCTACAGTCAAAAACGACACGGATTTTGTCCGGCTTCTTCGGGTGGTATATGCCGTGGTGGGGCAAATACCATACCCTGCCATTGCTGAGCTGCTGTTCATCTGTTGGGACCTTCTCAGCGTGACCATTGGCGATCGTGGCTTCCATGAACGTTGTGTAGTCACGCCGGAATGCATCATTTCGTACTAGCTTCGAGCGGAGTCCTTTGAGGCGCTGCACTGCTGCAGCTCTGTTGTTCGGCAGTCTGACGTCTCCCTTCAGCGGAAGCGGCATCTCGTAGTGCCCGTCTTCTTTCTGATGGATCTCTTCGGACATCATCTTCAGGAACATCCTGTCTTCAACTGACTGTGGTTTCTCCTCTCTTGTCTCCACAAAGTCCTGTTCAAACATCTCATGAAGCTGCTGAGGAGTCATCTCATGAGCTGTAGTCGTGAATGCGAAGTGACACAGCCTGCGGGTTCCTTTTCCTGCGTCGATGTACTGGCATCCAGAATTGATGTTCTCGCTGTCACAGACGGGGCCTACGATGCCCCATCCCAGTACGGTCCTTACAGCCCACGGGTCGTTGTCGTCACCTGTGATGACGTCTCTGGGCTTCACGGCTTTTGGGCAGTTCATCCCGACGAGAAGGCCGATTCCAGCGGCAGGGTAGTACAGCGGTATCTCATCTGCGATCGGCGCCAGGTGAGACCACTTCCTGGCAGACTCTCTTCTGGGGATGCACGAACGCTCTGCTGGAATCACCTCACGCGAATAGCACTGAGGAAGGACGATGCTGTCACCTCCCTGCACAGGCTCAATCACCAGGTCATCAACGACTGAGCTGGACACAACTGACTGGCCCGTGACCGTCTTCAGCTCCAGGGAGACTGGCTGACCCTGGATCTGGAGAGCCTCGCAAGTGCCGCCTGTCACAAAGCACGCGTCAGACTGTGGGTCAAGGACAGCATAGGTTAGAACCTTGACATCAGGGTGCTCCCTGTGACGAACGAACACAGGCAGGATCATTGAGTGGACGCAGCCTGGTCTCTTATCCCCAACTCCGGACATCACACGCAGGGATGTAGCTTGGAGCTGGTCCGTTGCTCCTTCAGGCCGACTGCTCCTCCTCTGAGTCTCAGCATCTCCGCGCTGAATGAGGTCCCTCCGAGTTTCGCTGATTGCCCTGCTCTGTGCTGCAACAGGAAATTTGTCATCATGAAGGGCAGTGGGGTGACCTTTTCCACAGGTTTCACACTTCATCTTCCTTTGGCAGGACCGCCAGACATGTCCACGCCTCAAGCATCCTCTGCAGAGTCCATACTTCATCACTGCAGCCTGCTTCTCTTCAAGGGTCATCTTGGTAAACTGTTCACACTCTGCCACTGGGTGAGCGGCAGCAACTGAAACGCCTGAGCGGTCAGAGCACACCACACACCCTGGTCTGACAACACTGTGGCTGTCCCTCTTTGAGGCTGGTGCAGCAGTCGTCTGGAGCGCTCTTACAACTCTCCTGTCTCTGCGCACATCCTTCTCTTCTTTGTTGGCAGAGTCTTCGACGGGACCACAGGCCACTCTCGCTTCCTTCGCCAGGAACTTCACGAATTCCTTGAATAAAGGATATTCTGCTGGCTCACCATCTTGTGGCTCATACAGTCGCTGATCCACATATCTTCTCCAACGATCAACCACATGTTTGGGCAGCTTCTTCAACATGTAGCTGTTTTCATGCTGGTCGTCCAACACCTTCAAGTGCCCAGACGTCCTTGACAAGGCATCACACTGCTGAAGAAAGTCTGCAAACTCTCTCAGAGCCTTGCCATCTCCACTCTTGATATTTGGCCAGTTTCGGATCCGTCGTTTGTATGCAGCTGCTCGTACAAACTCGTTTCCATATCTGTCATTGAGTCTGTTCTTTGCCTCTTGATAAGCATCTTCTGTCCGCAGCTGGATGAATCCAAGAATTGCTGCCTTCGCTTCACCTTCAGTGTATTTACCCAGGTAATGCAGTCTTTCGATTGGAGAGCTGGTCTTGGCTTCTATGTATGTTTCAAATGACTTGAGCCACAACTCAAACTTTGCCACATCACCATAGAACACATCCGGTTCCAGAGCAGGAAGGCGGCTCTGCTTTACTTCACGCTGCAACAGATTTACGAGGCCCTGGATAACATCCATGCTCTGCTCCTGTTCACTTGTCTGTGGAGCATGGACATTTGACGCTGGCCTTTGCTGCTGACTTGTCTGTGGGACTCGGGTTCTTGGGGCAGCATCTTGGGGTGGCATGTCCAGCATCAACTGGGACATGCGTCTTGCTGTCGTTGCTTGGAATGCATCTTGGTTTCTGGTGGTGTCATTCATATCTCTTTCAAAATCATCAATGGCTCTTTCCCTTGCTTGGCTGACAGCAAACTCTGTCATCAACTTCATGTCTTCCTCCTCACACTGCAGTTCCAGTTTCCTCTTGTTCATTTCTTGGCTTTTCTTGATAACAGCTGCTCTTGCTGCCAGTTCTGCTTGCTTTTGTCTCTCCTTCAGCTTGGCGGAGCTCAACGTCGAGCTTCCCCCATCTGAATGTTGACTGACTCTAGACAGAGCGGTTCTTGACGTCACAAAGAGGTTTGAGGCACTATCTTGAGGTTCAACACCATCAGCAGGCATTTCTTCGGGCTTGATGTCCGCAAGATACTTCAACACCTTTGCCTTCATGGCATCATTGTCATCAAGCTGACTCAAATGCCTACTCACATGGTAATCAATCTCATCATCTGGAAGCAGGGACCTTAACTCGTGATCAGATGATGTCAGCTCCTGACACAGCTTCAGCCAGTTCTCGAGCTCAGCTTTGACACATCCTATGCCTTCATTTGCAGACATAACTTCAATCAACCTCTGACCACTGGACCTTACTGCACTCAATGCTCTCTTGTACACCTTTTGTTTTACACCAAGTTGATACTGAGCTCCCTTCTCTGTCGTCTTACGTCTTCTCACGCCATCTGTCACATCATCTGCATTTTGATGCTCAGCCATCGTGGAGTGAGAGGATGACCAGGGAATTCAGGTAATGAAATTCAGCCACAGGAAAAGAATCAATGTCTACACAAGGTGACAGAGGAGACAATATCATACATCTACAACTACAGGTGACAATTCGGGGTTGCGTAGAATTGGTCAGGTAAAATCAGTTCATGTAGGTTGTGTTAGTACAGGTCAAGTCAGCAATTCAGGAGGTCATAGTAACCCGATCAATACAGATCATATGAAATTTGCTATTCGTGGCTAGACTACGATAATTTACTGTTAGGAATGTAGGTACCTACCTTTTGACATCAAACACCATGTTGATAAGCCCCTTTCAATACTTCAGGTCAATTCGTGATGTCAATGTGCTATGTGATGCTACTCAATTCACTACTTTTTTATTATCACAGCTACAAGGATAAATTATATAACAGAAAATAAAGAAAGCGGACAGCCTGTCAACTTGAAATAAATATAAGAATTTTGTTTTTAATGTTTTCTGAGCCACAAAACATCACGAAGTCAACATACGTCTTGAAATAGTTCGTAAGAAGTGCGTCATAGTTGTACTTGCTGACACAGCTCAAGGTAGCCAAATTAATTTTGGTTGTGATGTATTTGATAATGTGTTTGTGAAATTGAATTTAATCGACTTTTTAAGCTATTTTAAATGATATGCATCAAAGCTCTATAACTTATCAATTGTTCAGGTATCACCAACCTTTCCCTTTCAGGATATCTGCTACGATTTTTTCAAGAAAAACTCGTAGAAAGCGGCGGATTGCTTGCGACGACCAGTCAATCAACAACGCTAAGGTGAAAGGTCAAAAGTCAAAACCTAACCTTGAGTTATTCAATATCGCGCATCCTCCTAAACTTCGATGACCCTGTCCCTGACCCAGCTGACCGTTGACCTGTGACATGTTTCTCGCTCAGTCGTGACCATGACGGCCGGAATCGCGATATAGCGTTAGATTCGGCGTTGGTAGCGTTGGATACCTAAAATGATTTATTTTAGACGTTGAGCAAAACGTGAACACAAAAAATACGTGTGGGTACAATGACACTGGACTCCGGCCACGATATGAAGGGTTGCAAGAGTAATACCACCGGAAGCGATGATTGGGACGGATCCAGTTCCGGTACCTTCTGAGTCTGGGTTCGGGTCCCGGTAATTTTACAGTCTGGCTCCGGCCCAGGTCCGGATACAGCCCGGGTCCAGTCACAGTCCGGGCGACTGCAGCCAGGAGCCGTGCATGGTCAGCTGCTCCACCCAGGCTGTGGCGGCCGGATCCAGTTCCACGGCTCGCGCACCGAGTCGACGCGCCGCTCCCTCGTCCACCGCCAGGCAGCCCTGGCCGCGCAGCAGGCAGCGCGACAGTAGGTAGCAGCCGATGGCCAGGCCGCGGCGCACGTAGCGAGCCAGACAGCCCGACTGGCGCGCCAGCTGGTCCACGTCGGCAGCACCGTAGTGCGCCAGGTGCGCCGAAAAGCGCGCCGCGTGCCGGTAGAAGTGGTGGCGGTAGTAGAGCAGCGCCAGCTGCGCCGTGGCGTAGATGTTGCCCCGCCGGGCCGCCTGACTGAGACAAAAGCGCGCCGCCACCAGGTCGCGCCGAACGCCCAGACCGTACAGGTACATGACGCCGAGCGCCCCTGGCCAACACGTGCACAAACATACACATTGTCATAAATACACGCGAAATTCGTCATGTCAGCTTGTTACAGTCGAGAGTGAAGCGACTACGAGTTGTGCTGTGCAGCGCTTTGCACTTGGCTTTGACCTATACGAGCTGACTAGAGACACGCATCCACATGGCGCGCTTCGATTGGCTACTTACGAGTAGGTATGTACTACCGGCGTTTTTACAAGCTTTAAACTACCCCACGCAACATGTAACATTCATGTCATAACCGATAAAAAACGCGCGGGTGACGGGAGCACCTCTTCTGCGAACTTCTGCGAACATCCACCCGCTCGTACACTGAGAAACACTCAAGCCTATCCATGGTTCTCGGAGACCATGCAGGGGTCGTTCTGGTCTTGTATGAGAGCCTCAATTGGGGAGAACTTTGTTTACAGTTGTTGGTCTCCAGTTTGGTAAAGTTCTCAGGTTTTTCCCGTAACGTTCTCGAGTGAGAATGGTGTGCTATCTTGAACGAGAACTTTGCCCGGATAAGGTACTCTTATACTGCGGGATGATCTCCCATGAGAACCTTTACCAGGTCATGAGATCATAAACGAACACAATTCCCGCTCATAATATGATCCTGTATGGTCTCCGAGAACTTTACAACTTAAGAGCGCCGGCTTTCCTGGCACGGCATTCGCGCTCACGACCCATTCCCCCCCCCCTCTCCCCTCCCTGCAAGCGCCAGCTTTTCATGGCACAGCATCCGCGTTCTCGATCCTTCGCATTCCCTCCATGCACAAACAAGGTAAAGAACAGGCATGTATATTTATTGTGTCAGATGTAAAAAAACTCACTCTGGAACAGAACATGCGATGCAGTCATTCGATGCGAACATTTTGTTTCAAAAGCTGCCCAAACCCTTTCGCTTGCCGCCCCAGTCAGTACCGACCAGCGTGCTGAGTTTCAACTGTGTCGTTTAGCAAGAGACCATAATATCTCCCGGTGCACGACAGCTCAGTCCTTTTACTTTACTTTTAACACGGAATGCAGGTAAATGCAAAAATGCATGTCAAGCGGCGCTCCCCACGGTCCACAGACTGTGCGAACGATGTACAATTCAAACACTGTTAAGTACAGGCACGTACAATAGTTACACAGGCACAGACATTAAAAAGTTAATACAGGTAAAATGTATGGGCTGGCATGTGAACACTACCGACGGCAGTCCATGCGAGACCGAAGTCTAGCCATAGGAGCGGCGGAGGCGACGACAGCCGGTTGGCCGCTTTAGACAGTTTGCGCTGCTGGTAGCTGCATCTGGCTGGGGAGGAGCTACTCCAGCATGGCAGCCTGCTGACTGCTGAACCATGAGCGCCATCAGACGCTCCAGCTGCTCGTTGTCTCCCATCACCGGTACGAGCGATCCGACACGACGGTGTTAACTTATGTGCGTCTCTGAATCGGTGTCGCGCACAGGGTCAATCTCACTCGCGTAGGTACTGGCCACGCATATTATCGATTACACCACTATTTCACTATTTCACTGTGGCCGGACCGTCTCGGCGAACACGCCTCACCTCAGCTCGCGGCACTCAGCTGTGTTGACACCAGCGCCGCTCGGACGATACTGACCCTCGGCCGCTCGGCCCGGCCCGGCCGGTCAAGGTCGTTCAAGGTCACGGCTGTCAAGGCGCGACACGCGTGACCCAGGGCCAGGACACAACAGGGACATTTTGGCGTTGTGCCCGATGAGTTGCCTCACTTCGGTGTCCAACATTGAGAGCATCGTCTCTACGGCTTCTTGCTCTGAAAGGGAGAGTAAGACAAATATTAGAGAAACCTTAATTTCTGAGCCATATCCTCAAAGCACACGAATTGGTATTTAAGCAGATTTTGCTAACACTGGCAAACAGGTGGCAATCGCAACCTATATCCCAAAAATGGGCAATGGCACACAGATTTTGCCACCCCCCAGAGTAAGTAATTACCTTTGCTGTGGTTACTTTCAAGCTGTTAAGTGCACACAAAGAATACAGAAAACAAACTCACCATGAGACGTTCGCGCTGTGCGCCAGACACCAACTCGCGAAACTCGAAAGGAACAACCACGCTGCCGGCAGCCTTCGCAGTGCTTTCGAGAAAGGAAGGACCGGAAGCACTGAGGCATTATAGAGATGTTCCTTAGGGATATCCATTTGAATTGGTTTGAACTGTTAAAATCGATAAACATCGTGTCATAAAGTAAGGCTCTTTTTCATTAAAAATTATTTCTTCTACTGAAAAACATGTTTTATTTTTATCAATAACTGCTATTTTCCTAAGCGAAAATGGAATCGCAGCACTTCAAACTGCTCTACTCTTAACACAGCGCCACCTACGCCTTTAGTTTCCTTCTGTGCTGACATCTGTCGTCAAAACACGTCAGCTGCGAGAACTATAAGGAAAAAAGTGAGAAGTTTACCATCCTTTCTGACCGAATGACTGCTGGTTCGAATCTCACCGCAGACCGACTGTTTGCGTTACACGGGTAGCTAGACAACTTCCAGTACTAAACTATCTCGGTCAAGACCAAATCCACTCCTGAAACCGAAGTGGAGACCATGCACAGTTCTCGGGAAAGACCAATTCCTCAAAGCGGCAAAATGGAAACCATCGAAGGTACTCAGGTGAGTACTATCAGTATAAGTTCTAAAATGTGTTTCTCAGTGTACTTGCCTTGGGACTCGAGACTACCGTTACCGGTGGCCTCCGAGTGCCAGAAGAAGGACTTTGGCAGGTCGCGCGTGTCACTCCTGGCCAGCAGCATGGCCAGCATGGTCTGGGCGCGCGCGCTGCCGAGTCGCGAGCCGCCGTCCACCGCTCGGTCCAGCCACCTGTCGACAGCGGACCGGTTCGAGTCTCGGTGACCGTCTACATACACCCGGCCGTCTGGAAAGTGACTCGTCTCTCTGCTGGCTCGCTATCCTGAGGTGCATGACTGGACTCAGGCTGCAAAGCAATTGCTGTTTGCATAGGTCGATCACCGCATCGCAATCCACATTTAGTCCATTTTGTAAACGGTTTAGACATGCAATCCAGATCGGAGACTACCTATCGGTGCGTTTCAGTTATTTCGTTGCAATGCATTTTAAATTGTCGTTGCCAGTTGCGAAGTTATTTTAATTAAAATACGATACCAGTCTGGATATTCGCTGCCATTTTCGAAAGAAATGCTGCGAATCGTTATAAGACTATTAGTAGAGTTATTGTATCGGTGCTTATGCTTATTCATGATGCTTACTCATGCTGCTTGTCTGATTGCGGTGGCGACCGGTGCTCGGTGCCGACGGCGCTGACACAGGTGGGGGTGAGGTCCGGGGAGGGAAGGCATGTGACGGCGAACTATGGCCAGCGCGCCACAGTATACGATGACTTCCTTGGGCATATATGGGAGAGGAATGGCGGGCGGCTGGGTCCCCATCTTATGAAATGTTGAAACGTCCCAAGATGTAGCAAGCCTCGCTATACAATTGCGTGTCAAAAGCGTGAACACCACGCAGACAGTCGGTGCAGTGCTCACCTGCGGCCGTCGTCCTCGCTGCTGTGCACGCCGTACCCCATGAAGTAGGCTCTGGCGATGTTGTACTGCGCCCTGTGAATCGCCTCCTTCTGTTCGGCGGTCTTGGGCACGCTGAGGGCTACCATCAGCATCAGCCGAAAGCCGCGCTCCAGGTCCTGTTCGAACCCCAGGCCCTCAAAGAGCATTACTCCCAGCTGGTACTGGGCGAACACATTCTCGGCCGCTATCGATGCGAACAGGGGCCGGGCGCTCTCGTAGTCGCCCCGGTCGAAGTACAGCTGGGCGAGGAACAGGATGGCGCGCTTGTCGCCGGCGTCGATCCGCCTGCGGAGGC